AGGAGAGATATTTAAATTTTTATTTTTGGTTTTATAATAAAGAGGTAATATTCTTTTATTTAAGCACTGTGGTTGCTAATAAAGTTAGCTGCAAGGGGTGATTTTCACCTTACTAACTTGTGATGTAATATTTGTCGATTATAAACAGTAATCTCTCCTTTATAAGCGAGGTATAGCCGCATAGCGATGTATGTCTTATGTGGTTTTCCTTAATATTAAGTCTGAGATAGTGGAATTTAATTTTTTGATAATGTTTATTCCATCATCTATTGCTAGAACTCTAAATGAAAGAACATAAATCTGGATGACTATAGGAAAATTGTACCATATAAATCATTTGCAAATTAATACATTTATCAAATTATTGCACTATGATTATTCAAATAGTACTGATTTGAGCAAATAGAAAGCCGAGATCTTAGGCTTACTATCAAGGATCGTGGTCCTTGTCGCGCAGACTGAACGACAAGTGAAGACAAATATTCAAATACATGCAAAATCTCCACTTTCCGGATGGCAACTTGCAATGTTGATTGCGATGTGAAACTTTGTTAATCTGCCTTTATATCGTCCACAAGGGGAGTCAAACATTTTAGTGCATATAGCCCCATCATATCCAAGTGCATTCGTGAGCTTTCTTGCCAGTATATGCTGTTTGAATAGGTTTTGGAACTATCAGTTACTCCATTGTAAGGAGTTGAATCATATGAAGAAGATATAATTGATGCAAGGCCTCACGCTACTTTGCCCCTTGACAACCTGGACTATTTAGCAGGTAAGAATAAGGCCAGTTGCTGTTCACGATTTAGGTTCGAATCCTGCTGAGGATGCAGATTGGCCCTAGGGGAGTTTGAATCTGCAGTCAAGCCAGGATGAGAATACCCATTCGGAGGTAAAACTGGGCAAAAGTCAATGGCTTTTTGCTTATTTCACGTTATATTTTTTCATAATACTTAAAGTGACCAAAATTTACTCCAGCCTTTTATCCACATGACTTTCCTTAAGGGCTTAGTGAGTAATATATAACTTTTTTTAATAGAAACCTGATCATCCTAGGTCGCTTAAGAGAATTTAATGACTGAGATTTGAGATTATATTCCACTTCCCAAAATATAACTTCGTCTAGGCTTGATTGTAGTTTCGACCCCACCTATGTTTCATTAGCATTTCTAGTGGGATTCGATGCCAGGCCGTGAGTATCGTTACCTCCCCACTCCACGAGATGGTCACAGATGCTAGTTGGCTCAAGGCCAATTGATATTCAAGATAGGCCAGGCCTCTCCAAACTCGCAGTTGCTATAGAAATCGACATCGTTATTTATTTTTGATATATGTCGTTTTTGAGACTTAGCTTTTATTCAAGAAGTACTAATATTCCAGAAAACTATTTATATCCAATCTAAGTAATGTTGTCGATTGTTATGTCTGGTTTGCATAATGGAGGATCGCACTGCAAATGAGAGTTGGTAGAGGACTGATTTGTTTTTAAATTTGTACTCACCCTGTGACTCACTTGTACTCGTGGCCATATAGTTGAATTGAATAATACTGTCGCCACCATTCTCACGAGCTTGTATTGAATCACGCTAGGAATGCCGATAAACATATACAAGATAGAAACTACTGTCTAATTTAGGAGGCAAGGTCAAGTAAAATTCAGTGGTATCATGAGGCCTACTCTACTCATTGTGATAACACTCAATTATCGTTTGTCGAAAAATCTTAAGATCTTATTCAAGTCGAAAATGACGACCTTGTGTCTTTCGGCTATTGCCCTAAAACTAACAGTCCTCAACGAATTCTACTCTGACTTTGAAGAATCTCTGTTGACCTGTAGTCCATATCTTCAGCTGTATGTTTGTTTTGACTTCGGCTCGAGACAGCAATTAATAAGGATTTGAGTATCGCATTGGGAAAATGAATATAGTAACTGAAACACTCTTTAACGACAGTACAATTTAGATTGTTACAATCTCGTTTCTCAAACCACTACCTCAGGTGACCGACTATCTACTTGACCCTACTCGCCTACTCGGAGAGGAGCAGACTTACCAAGCTTCGTTGGGCATCGAGCCACGTCAGTCAATTTCCCTGCACATCAACCAGCCCCTTCAGTCACCAAGGCAACTGGTACCGAATCCCGATTCCATCACCACGTCGACATCTCAGCAACAGCCGTCAACCGTAGCGCCAGCTACAAGCCTGTCAGTCATGCCGCCTCTTTTCACCTCCTTGTCGTCTCCTCTCTCCACGTTTGCGCCTCTTCACAGCCACTTCGCACCAGCTGTATCCGGCTTGTCAGTCAGCCTCTCCTCTGCCAGTCTCGTTGCCGGCCCGGGGGCTCCTAGAGATATCGTTACCGGTCTCAGCCATGCCAAACAGACCTATAACCCTATAGGATGCCTGGCCAAATCGACCGGTTTTGTTGCCAGTGCTGCCTATTCATCATCAAGGGCCGCTCCTGGCCGGGAGGACAACTCCTCGAAGAATGCGTTGAATCAGGATCCAGTCTGCCAAACTAGATGATCTCCGACCTATGCGCAGAACTTGAGTTCAGCATACCACAAGGTCCTGAGGGGCAGACGTCCAACTATGCGAACATGTCTCTTTGTTGAAATCTTCCTGTTGGAATTCCCCCATGGGACACGTGTGCAATTCCACTAGACCGCCTGTAAATACTATCAATTTTGTTAATATTGTGGCCTTACGAATGTGCTATTAATGTAAGCCACATCCAGACTTATTACGCGGTGGTCAGATTGCCCATTGGGCGCACATGATGAACTCTTCTGTAACCCAGATCTGTATAGACATGCATTGTCAATTGAAAATATTTTTTTTATTGTTTACCCTTTTTCTATTATATTGACTATGTTGACCTGGATTCTGATCGTTTCACTACTAGCGATCATTTTACTCGTTTATGTGTGCGGATGTGTGCTATAAATAGAATTGTGTGAATGTTCACACTTTATTTGTGTTTATTCTTTAGTGCCTGAAGTAAAATCTATTAAGAATAGAAATACTCTGTAAATGTCAGTTAATATTCGGCAAAGCTAATGAGAAAAGTGAGTGTAAAACATTACATAACAGAGTCCTCTATCAACATAATCATGATAATTTTTAAGCGTCGGAAGGTGGGCTTGTTAGATTCTCAGATGTCTTTTC